GAATTTGTTTCACAACGCACTACCAGATGGTGTGTGTGTATTGATTACTGGAAACTCAACTCCACTATTAGAAAAGATCATTTTCCTCTTCCATTCATTGATTAATTTCTAGAGCGATTGGCTGTCCAGAGCTATTATTGTTTTTTAGACGGATATTTCGGCTATAAGCAGGTGGCCATTGATCCTAAGGATTAAGAGAAAACTACGTTCACTTGTCCACTCGGTACATTTGTATATAGACGGATGCCTTTCAGATTATGTAATGCACCAACAACATTCCAGAGGTGTATGATGTCTATCTTTTTGGACATGGTTGAAAAGTTTCTCGAGGTCTTTATGGATGACTTCTCTGTTTTCAGATCGACATTCGAGAATTGTCTCCAAAATTTATCCTTAGTACTTCAGCGTTATAGGGAAACCAACCTTATTCTTAGTTAGGAGAAACATTTTATGGTTTAAGAGGGGATCGTTTTAGGACATATCATTTCAGAGCGAGATTTTGAAGTGGATAAAGCAAAAGTAGATTTGATCTCCAAATTGCCTCCTCCTACCTCCGTAAGGGGAGTGCGATCATTTTTTGGGCACGCTGAGTTTTATTGACGACTAATTAAAGATTTCAGTAAATTTTTTAAAGTGATACTTCTATCCATTGTTAGACTAATTTATGTTTAATGTGTGTTTATAGGTACTTTCCGAGAGAAACGATTAAAACCGGGATTTTATGATGAAAAGCCTGATATAGAAGCTTACAGAGTCGTTGCCGGTCATTCAGAACAAGTCGAGAGCTTAAATGGTAAAGTTTGGAGGAATTCAATATCCAAAGCTCAAGCCCATGTCTTGAGGCTCGAGCCATACAGGTCACAGAAGAAATATCAACAAGGCATTGAAGCTTGAGCCTTGCACCTTTAGGCTCGAGCCTGAATAAAGGGTGCTCAAGCCTAACCAAAGGTGCTCGAGCCTTGACCCTCAAGCTCGAGCACAAGGCATCGAAGTTTGAAGAGTTGATTTCTAAGCTCCCAGACCTCATGCCTAACCTCAAGGATCGAGCACCATTGCACAAAGCTCGAGCCTTGAGTCCCTAATACTCAAGCCTAGTACCTAGTGCTCAAGCCCATGAAGCTTGGATCGAGCAATGTTAAAAGAGATAAAGCCAAAGAATATTGTAAGTGTTGAAGAAAAAGATGCTTTGGAAAATAGTTGAAGAAATTTGGCTAAGTGTCAAAGAAAAGATCGAGCACCAATCCTTGAGGCTCGAGCACCAATTCAAAGAAGCTCGAGCTTGAACCTTAAAGCTCGAGCCCGAACCTTAAAGCTCGAGCCTTTGTTCCTAAAGCTCAAGCCTTCTATGACATGTCAGATTTAAATTATGGGAATGTTCTCTTTTCAGGCCATATCTCATTCCAGATGGGTTAGAAGACCTAAAAGCCCACCAAGCCTTTATTTTCTTCTATAAAAGAAGGTGTAAGCCTTGATAGAATATATCCCTTTTCTCATATTATTTAGAAGGCTGATACTATGGTGGTGGCTTTTAGGGTTTCCACAACCTTAGAAGGTGAAGATCCTAAGAAGAGAAGTGTCGTCCGGGACAATGGAGACAACTCCAACACAAATGATATCCAACATCATTATGAGTAGCTAATTCTCCTCTTAGGGTACTGATGTAACCCAATCTAGTATTATGGCTTTATTGTTCTTAACTCTGGGATGATTTTAATGTATATTACGTTTTTTATTATATGACTATGAGCAATTGAGATAACTCAATTGGTTTTCATACTTTAAATAGATTTCAAACTGTTATTACCTTGTCTTAGATATAACTGTTTATTTTCTATTCTCAACCTATCTTATTGGACGGTATCTGGCGGAGCCCTACCAGACATAGGAGTATAGGTCCTATAATGGTGTTCCAATGTTTTTTTATAGAAGAATGTTTTCATAGTGTATACTTAGGAAAGATGGATTAATTGCAAAGTAGTTAAAATAGTTAGAGTAGGTAGATGGATGGTCCATGTTAACCATAAATAAGTTATAATTAACTATTTTATAAAAACATCTTTCTTTAAAACCCGAATTGAACGAATGTTATTGACTTCAATTAATTTAAAAACATAATTTGTTAAATCCCTAGATTTGATACAATTAACCATAGTATGATGATTGTGGTGAAGTCAAAGCCCTAAGATTTCTCTCTCTAATCACTTACTTTAACATAGTTTAATATTTTAGTTTAATTTTAGTTTATTTTTAATTGTGACAACCAAGAAAACTTTTCAACCAGTTACCTGTGAATCATTAGGACTAAATTAAAGACTGAACATAAATTCTCATCTCCCTGTGGGTTCGACATCCACTTTATAGTACTATCGTACACGAAATCGTTCTATTACGAGTGGTAAAATTAGACACGTCAATTTTTGGCGCCATTGCCGAGGAGATTTGTTATTTAGTTTAGTTTTTAATTAGTTATTTTTAGTTTACCAGTCTTCGAACTTTTTGATATCTCACCTTAATTCTTTTTCTTTTCAGGTACAGGGAATTTGCAGTGAGGACAAAGACGTTTAAGGGATAAAAAGTTTCGGTTTATTAAACCTTCTGTGAGTTTTTACTGTTTTCTTTTACTTGGAAAATTTTATTTTTGTTACTATTTAAGGTTAGTGGAATGAATGTATGTTAACTCGTCAAACTAGGTCAAAACCTTTTGTGCATGATCTTGAAATAGATAGAACTCTTAGTCAATTACGAAAACTTAAAAAACATTTGAATACTATAGGTAGTTCCTCTGATAATATGGCTGATATTCATTATGCATCGAGTAATGGCAATGGTAATGGAGGATAGGTCCCCCCTGTTCTTACACAACCACAATTGAGGGACCATTTCATTCCTACCACATACATATCTCCTTCGTGCTTTGTATTTCCGGATGCTGATGCAACCCATTTTGAGATCAAACTTGCTATGATCCAAATGCTTCCTACCTTTCATGGGTTTGTAACAGAGGATCCCTATACGCACTTAGATGTATTTTTGGAATTGTGTTCAACTACCAAGTTGACCACTCTTACTAATGATTCATTCAGGATACGAATTTTTCAATTTTCTCTCAAGGACAAAGCAAGAACTTGGTTGCATTCCCTTCCTCCAAATTTCATATCTGCATGGGAGATGTTGCAACAAGAGTTTTTGAAAAAGTACTACACAGTAGGTAAAACTTGTCAAATGCGAAGAGAAAACTTGGTATTTTCCCACATCTCGAGAGATCAGTTCCATGATGCTTGGGAAAGATATAATTATCTGTTAAGAAAGTGTCCACACCATGATATTTCACAATGGCACTTAATATAAATTTTCTATGATAGTTTTTTCGATTCTTATAGAAACATGGTTGATGCCTCTAGTAATGGAGCTTTTCTGCGTAAGAGTCCAGCTGACTTTTGAGAACTGTTTGAGGCCCTAAGTGAAAATTCAATGCAACATGCGTCTTCCTCTAGGTTTAGGTCTTTACTTGGAATGCATAAAGTTGAAAAAGTCTTTGAAGTAGACAAATCTAGTGAGTTAGCTGCTCAAATAGAAGCCTTGAACCGTAGGTTCGATAAAATTTTATCATCTGGTTTTGCTCCTATTGCTAATCCACAATCTGCCTTGCCAAAGGAAGTTTGTTCTATCTGTGCTAATCCTTCCCATTTTGTTGTCACTTGGCCTATGATGGGACAATCATTTGAGATCTCACAGGAGCAAGTGAATGTTGCATTCTCTAGACCAGAATACAATCTATATGCTTCCATATTTAATTCTGGCTGGAGAGATCATCCAAATTTGTCATAGCGTAATCAAAGCCAAGGAACCATTGTTCCTCAATCTTAGGGACAATATCAAAATTCATCCAATCCTATGCCACAAAATAATTTTTTCAATTAATCTAGTATCTACCGTCTACCTCAGTTTAGGAATCAGCCCATTCAAATTCCTAGTCTTCCACCTCCTCCTAGAAATTCTACTTTTGAGGACCAAGTACTTAATGCTCTTATTGATCTTAAAGGCAATACCCAACTTCTTAATTCTCATTCACAAGCCAAAATAAAGCTAGAGGCACAAGTTGGGCAAATAGCGAGTACTCTATCTCGAGGAGAGGATGGAAAGCTGATTAGTCATACAATAGCCAACTCGAAAGGGTAGACTTACATGACTAATGAAACTAATTCTTTAGGTATTCATCATGAGCAAGTACAGGCTATTACTACATTGAGGAGTGGTAGAGTGGTTGATAATCAAATTAAAGAAGAACAAGAAAAGAAAGAAAAGCTTAGGGTTCCTATTATTCCTATCATCCATAATCCACATCCTAAGGATGTTTCCATAGGCAGAAGAGGAATATGGAGTTATCGAGGTTTCCTTGAGGAGGATTCACACTTGAGATTGAGAATTTTGGAGATAAGGTGGGACATATTTTCCTTGAGGAGTATTCACACTTGCTCCTTGATTTCTCTATGAGAAATTTGGATGATCTCTCCACTTCGGGATTGTTGGTGTTACATGAAGGATTATTACTAGAGCGAGAGAATGTGGCATTCGCTTACTCTTAAGACTCATTTGAAATGGATTGTCCATAGGGACAATTTTGAGTGTTGTGATATGGATTCGAGCAAATCATGCATGTTTCACTTTGAATTTGGGGAGAAGAGGAATATAGAGGTACCGAGGTTTGACTCATCAAGAATTGGTTAAACCTATGAGTGATATTTTTGACTTCCACGGCGACCTCCATAGGGTTATCAATATGATAAAGATTTTCAGTTTTCTTTCCCCCCAACATTGACACACGACCCGATCGAGTAAAAGAAACACGATGCATGGAATTTTCATTCAAGTTGTTAAAAAGAATCCATAGGTCATCTTCATGTTTAAGCAAGAAAGTACCTCCATATGAAGCATCTACCATTTGCCTATGAGTGTCAGATAAACTTTAATAGAAACATTGAACAAGTTGCTACTTTAGAAGGTCATGATGTGGAAACTTCCTTAGTAAATCATTTAATCTCTCCCATGCTTCATAGAATGGCTCCCCATCATTTTAAGAGAATCCCATAATGGCAGTCCGCATTTGATTTGTTCTACTTGCGGGTGAATAATTCCTCAAAAAATCTTGTTGCATTTGTGCCCAAGAAGTAATGGTATTCGACCCGAGGTTATTAAACCAATACTTTGCTTTATCCCAAAGAGAGAAAGGGAAAAGCTTTATCTTAAAACTGCTTCCTAAAAATTTGTGATTTTCACGGTGGAACATACCTATAAGAACTCATCCAAGTGTTTATATGGATCTTCATGAGTTAAACCGCTAAATACCAAACACATTTGAATGATTCTGGGCCTAATTTCGTAACAGATAGCCCAGACATTTGGTAAACGGTAACATGTGGGAACATTATAAATATTTGGAGTGTAGTGATCTCGAAGAACCATGGGAGGATTGGGAAGAGGATGTGCTACTTAAGGTGGTTTGGGAAGAACTGGAGGAATGTTATTTTGTGCCAGTGAAATAATTGAATGGTTTTGAATGGGAAGAGGTCCCCTTCTACGATCTCTCAATTCCTGAAGAGAAGATTCAATTTCTAAGTCAAGTGAAATAAGAGGAGTTTGAAGAGATCTCCTTTGAAGCATATGCAACAAAGCATATAAATAACACAGTCATAACAACTTCATAACCAAAACATCTATATACGATAATCCTATTCTCCTCAATTCAACAATATTATAATACCAAAATTAAATTGGCCACCATAAGGACCGATGCTTAAACAAGAAAGTAAACAATTGATAGCCTCAACAAGGACTATCCAATTATCAAACTAAAAAGCGCACAAATGTAGTTCAAGATTTTAAGATACGCTCACAAAGGTCCAATGCACAATGCTATGATCCTAAGCTTACCTCTCTTTCAATCAAGTACCTAATTGCACATATAAACAGTAATAAGAAAATGATTTGAAATGGTTCCTAAACTAGCAATAAAATGAACACTAATATTAAATTCAATTCTAATTGAACTGCAATCCCCTGCAACAGCACTAAAAACTTGATGTGCTCTTGGAGGTGCAACAAAATAGATGTATAAATGTGGCAATTGAGAACACCAACTTTTAAAAACCACTACACAACTATACATGAGTATAGTGAGTAGGGATCATCCACTGGGATTATAGACTTGGAATGAACTTAGTATCAATGATCGTGAGATTGAAAAGATATTGATTGGTTGATTAAACTAATGATGAAAATCAATTAAATGTAAATTGAAAATGAGATTATATGAAAAAAGATTGGAGTAATGTGCTGGTATACGGAACTTAGGGCATGGATTTCACCATTAAACTCATGGAATTGCATCAAATGCCTTCAAACAATGGGGATAAACAAGTTGTAATGAAAATGTGGCTACAAGCACACATCAATGATCAAGTAGATAATACAATTGCAATGAATAATCATGGATTATCAAATTTAGGTATGAATTGTCTACCTAATTACACTTAATCTAAGATGTAAAAAAAACCATCAAGACTAAGCATAATCCATCAAACTAAGAGCAATTGTATCCAATAAGAACAATGCATGGCCATCATTAAGCACAATTAAAAAAGTACTCAATGTAGAGATCAAACCTTAATCAACTACACATAAGACAACATATAATCAATTAGAGGATCAATTGAAAGAATTATTAACATAAACCTTGGTACAACCAAGTTAGAATTCACAAGACCAAACAAACACATATATAACTTATAATTCCCCAAATTAGAGGACAAGAGATACAATTACACAAGCTAGGGCTCATCCAAGCCCTAAGAGATGATTTAGCCAAACATAGAGGTGGTGGATATGGTCTTCATGGCCTCAATTCCCATCTTTATGCTTTGCTCCATCTTTTTCTTCCTCCTTGAGAGTTAACCTTTAGAGAGAGAAAAACCTTAATTATAGCCTTAGAATTCCCCTAATTCAATCCAATGAATAATCAAGAACCCCCATTAAATTAGGCTATATCTTCTATTTATATGTTACTCCAAGGCTCCAATAATAGTCAAACCCCGTACACAAGGACTCCCTAATAATTGCACACCGAGCCCCCTTGGATCAAGGCTTAAAATTTGAATTTCACAACTGTCAGATCCATATCTGATCGATCGGATTGTCTCTAATTTTGACTTTTAAAGCTTATTTGCCCCTTATCCTTTGTGAGAGATCAAACAAGCTGTAATAACCTGGAATAAGCTTTGTGTAATTACCCAAACCCGTGGGTCCGAACCGTTACCCGAACATGAGGTCACCTAAGTCAATCCACAACATCTCTAGTGTCCATTTATCATCTTTGTATCCAAATTATGTCTTGTGGAGGCTTTAAACAACATTTTATGGCTTAAAGTTTAATCAAACAAGAAAAGGAACAAATTGCACCAGAGCAACCACAGTTCGGTCGATCGGAATGGAGAGCCGGTCGGTCGAAATGAATCCCCTCTGAACCGGTTGATCGAAGTGGGCAACCGATCGGCCGAACCCCAAAAGTCCCGAGACCAAACAAAGAATCGGTCTGCCGAAACATCTCGGTGAGTCCAAAACCTGCTACTGGATTTCTATACCTTACTGCCAATGAAGAAAACTTTGGTGAAGATTATAAAGGTACTATAAATCTATCCCAAAACATCCATAAACATGTGTATAATGAGAAGGTAATGTTCATACATCGCAATGAGATTTAATTACATCATTATACATCACGATGAATTCAATTACATTGATCATAAATGCATGGACATTTGAATTATAAACTTCCAAACTTCATCAAATAACCATGGATAAATCATTCACCGACTCACCTCCGAATTCCCTGAAAAATGTTAATGATAATAGGGTGAGCTCAACAACTCAATAGAAAAATGCCTAAAACACATTCCTAAAAATCCCGTGAGCCACAACCAAAGAAAAGGGATCATGGGATTATAAATCATCTCAACATACATATATTTCACAATTTCATAAAACATTCCATCACAAATGAAATGCAAATGCTCCCTTCTTCCTTTCTAACCCAACCTCACTAAAAACCTTCATGACCATCACAATGACTTACAACACAACCCATCATCTCACTCCCTAACCATTTTTCCCACATCAACTTTCATCCTCTCAACTAACCCCCTTGTCAAGAATATGCATGTCATAAAACCAATTGTCAATACACAAATCATAATATACATCATAATCATATTATTAAAACATCCAATCATGAAGTCTATAAGACACATCATACTTTCACATTTCATCATAGGGAAATAGAATGTTTGATAATGTCAAGATTTTCAAGTAAGAAAATGCATAGAAACTCACTAAAACCATAGGATTCATGTTTTTGACTTCCCCTACCTTAATGGATGCAAAAGCCCCAAATTTTCAAGCCCAAAACCCTAGAATTCGAAAAACCTATGGGTGGCCAAAGAAGTAATTGCTTACATCACTATGTAGATCTCGTCGAGCTCTCCGTTTTGCCGCAAACGGCGTCCAAAAACTCCAATTGGTTGAGAAGCAATCAAGGTTTGAAGCTTTAAAGGAAAAAGAAAAAAATGAAAAGAAAAGAGAGGAGGAGAAAGAGCTGCAGGGAGTGAGAGAGATTTAAGGCCTAAATGGCCTTATGGCCATTAAAAAGGAAAGTGGTGGGTCCCACCACTTAAAAAAAAAATCTTTTCCTCTTTTTAACTTCCACCACACATATAAATATACAAACTATATAACATCCACACGAAGTAAACTAATTAAAAAAAATAAAGTGCAAATGGACCTAAACAACATCCCCGTACACGACAATTCCAGTAGCGTTGGGACCGTCCGGCTCGAAAAACAAAAAAATGCTGAAATGGCTACCGATGAATTTCCATAAGTGCTGAACTGAATGGAATGCCCCAACCAACTCTTGGACACACCCAGCACACCCTATGGTGTCTGGCACGTAAAACAAGAAAAGACGAAAATGCCCTCGCAAAATCAAAAAATGAAAAAATGGAAAAAATTGAAAACATTACGATCTCCCCAACTTTAAAAGATTTCGTCCCCGAAATCAACCCACCTCACAAGAGAAAGATGAAAGGATACAAAAACGGAGTACGTCTCTGAGTACCCCATGCAATACGCTATACCTCAAGATCCAAACACGAAGAGTCCCCATCCCATGTCACTTGCAACCCTGTGCTTGTGACCCAACATAACCTTGACCGAACAGCGACCGCAGTCACACTCAACCTTTTCCCCACAATACAAAGTGGACGAAAAAAACACCACAGTACCGATCAAAACTCTTTACCGTCATCTATAGGCACACGAGGCACAAGCCCCCAAACCAAACTTCCTAATTCTACCGAGTCTTGGTCCTTTGGAACCATTAGGATTGTTATCTTTCTAACCAGAGCATACTACTTGTCGATACCAATTCCACAAATGACGGTCTCAATCAACTCACACGACAACACCCATCACGTAAAGAATCCTTTAATCCGTGTCACCACGACACTCAATCCTCTATTCCCGCACGTAAGATCAAGGAAAAACACTCAACCTCGGTCAAAACCAATCCAATGCCTAAAATCACACAAACAAAGTCCATATGAGATATCCCACCAGAAAACTGTTGGATCCCGTACACGGTAGGTTTAACCAGTAGCACCTCACACAATCCGCCCCAAACGCCCAAAGGCCCACAAAACAGTGATTGTAAAACCGTTTAAATTGCTAAATGAACCAACATACAAGCTCAACTCGCTATCCCAAGATACTCTTAAAACCATTTCTGATAACTATTGCCTTCAACAGCTACATTATAGCTGAACACCTATGACTGTAATCAAGAGAACCATCTGACCTGTCAAATGTACCATCAGGTACCTAGGAAAATAACCCATCAACATAGTTCACGGATTACTAGATCCAATAATTGAAACTCCTTGGACACATAGTCCCATACTAAGTGCACCACTATCTATGACAAGTCACATAAACACGTACAAAGAATATCATTTATCCCAAATGAGACTCACTCAAAATTTTGGATCACACAACCA